TGTTGAAGAGAAAACAGGAGTAATGTGTCTTTTTTTTTTATATAATTAGATATAAATACCAATTAAATAAGTCTTATAATTCCTAGATCAAAAGATTCTACCCAATGCCTGACCACGCCCACTTACACTTTGGTTGTGGAAAATCGCCACCCCCCCCCCCCACCCAAATAAGGGACATCGGCCCCACCATCAAAGCAAAAATCCTTTCACCACCAATCCCTTTATAGCAATAGTGTTAACAGAACTTATAAACTTGGTATACTGGTATGCTCAGTTACACAATGTTGTGCTCTATCCACCCTAGAAATGTCTAAGTGATAAAATATATGTAACTGCCTTGTATGGGTGATATAAATATCACTACGCCCATATATGGGCAAACCACATTTGCCACATAAAATTCTGTAGTGTCGACAAAACTCAGCATACAAAGATGGCTGTTAAAATGTCATGTGTAGATTATAAAATGTAACATACCAATTTTCTCAATTCTATTATCTGCAAGATTAAGTTCCTGTAACTTTGTAAGTCCATTTAGTCCCTATAAATATAATAAAATTGAGTGTCATGAAGGGCTATTCTGTTGCTTATAGTGTTTTGTGTGGCACATTGCATGTTTCCAAATATATGGAAAAAAAATAAAACACAGAGATATCTTTCAAAAATTAGTAAGTGAAAAAAATATGGAACTTACTTCAATATTGGTAATGTTATTATTTGATAGCCACAGAAGCTGCAGGTCTTTCAAGTGGTCTAAATTCTCAATCTTGGTTATCTTGTTTGAATACAGGTACAATCGTTGAAGTTTTCTGCACTCAGAAAAACCCTCAATTTTCTTGGCAACAAATGAAACATAGATAATTTGTGATTAGAGATAAAATCAGACCTGACCAAACATAATTTTTTTACATCATTCTGATGGCTGCAAAAAGGATTGTGTTTAATTAATAATGTAACTAGATTGAAAAAATTATTTTTCTTAAATATGACTAGCGAACCTCAAGCAGTTCTTTTACTATAGCCTCATTCACACTGGACTTATTTTGGTAAAAATCTTGCCAAAACTATGGGAAAGGAACTCTTACCGCTCTCTGCACTTGGACTTTCTTGACCAAAGCCGCGGCAAGACTGTCTCAGTATGTTTTACTGGGCAAACAGGACTCGGTGAAACTTACCGTGTGGCTTGTTAAGCATTCCTGTCAGGGAAAGTTACTGAGATGTTCGCACTGGAGTTTTTAGGGTAAAATTTACCAGCCGGTCAGTATAAGTCTTACCAAAAAAGTCCAGTGCAATTGTGACTCATGACTAGCGAAATTTTGTTGATTTTATGACTGGAAACTTTGAATATTAGTCCTCAGAAAATATTTCCTCTGGAGTAGGGCAAGCTTTTTGAATACAGAGTTTTATAAATCAATGGACTGTCCATCAAGCGCACAATAAAAACTGACCAATCAGAATATTATGTTAGGGCCAGAAAAATATGTACATGCATTTACTGTGTCGTTTCTGCAGAACCTAAGCAACAATTAATAACAATTAATAACTCCTTGAATATCCAAAGGGCAGGGCAGGGCTAGTGCAACAGTAGATTGAAAGAATTTTACTCTTACCTGTATCTTGCATTCTGACATCCAAAATTCTTTCAGTTTTTTGCAGCTTGTAAGGCCACTGATCTTTGTCACCTCAAGGCCCATGAAAATCAATGTTGTCAAATTGATGAATAGGTGGAGGCCAACAATCTTAGAACAACTTGAAAAAAACAGTTCCAAAGTTTGAACATTACTGCTGCCTCCCTGTTCCAGTTTGTTGTATTTCACTCCATTGACAGTGCACTGCAAAGACAAGATGTAGAGATATATAACACTGGAACAGACTGACAAAGATATATGGCATGATTTGGAAAAGGCCTTTGCCCTACAGTGGGATGTAACAAACTAGGATGATGATGATGATGATGATGATGATGATGATGATGATGATGATGATGATGATGATGATGATGATGATGATGATGATGATGATGATAGTGAAGACAATACAGTATATTAAAAAAAAACTAGAGCTGTAGAAAAAATATCAAAAAAAATAATTTGCATTCATAGTATGTTTTCATGTGATAACTTTCAAAACAGAATGATCTAAATTACTCCATTAAAATAATTTAAAAATAGCCTCCTGATAGGATCATGAGTATACTGCTTAAAGTAGGTCAAAACTACTTTAAACATGTCTCATTATCAACAAGGTGCTGTCAGCATAGTAACATTTTTATAAAAGATAAAATGTAAAGGCCAATAATAGTGAATTCGTCAAAAAAATGTAAATACAGGCCATATAAGTTTCTTTTAAGGAAGCATGCTACCGATCAACGACTGTACGTCAGTAGCAGTTCCATCGCTACTCTATTTTGTGATTTTCACATAGAGGGTGCTATATACAATTTTTTTATTTTTTTGTATCACACTTCAGACACCAACAAAGTTGGCAGGTATACCCTGGTTGCAACTTTCTTATGGCTGAACAATAGACTTGCTACATACCAATTCTTTTAGAGTGTTTTCCTCCTCCTCTGAGTTTAGAAGTTGGCTCTGGACACTGACAGGTGTCGAATTACCTGAATCTGACATGTTCAACAATAAGGCTACCCTTGCTCAATCAAACTGCCATCTGTAAAATGAGGTTTTATCATGCAATATCAAGGGCTGTTTAATTGTAACCAAGATGAAAAATTATAACTATTATTAAATATAATAGCAACACTTTATTACCAAAATGGCAAACCAAAATGAATCATGCAGTTTTGGAATCTTTTTAATGAAAAGGTTCATTGCATATATTACTATTTAATATAAATTGTTTATTTAAAGAAATACTGCACTTCTATTATTATTAGTTGCCACTTCTTCTTCAATTCAATATAATTTATTGTCAAAATAGTAAACATTGCTTGAAATTTAGGCTAAATGTACACATAAAATTGTTGAAAATGGACACATAAAACATGAAAACAACATCAGAGTTTAAAAAGAAGCAAAAAAGCGAGATAAAACCCGAGAATACGAAATATAAAAGCAGTTAAAATGGATAAAAACATGGAGATAGATTGAAATAGTATCATACATTATTCAATTTAGATAACTTTCACGATTATCTTATAATAATTAAATAGCCTCATGGCTGACCGGAGGAAAGACTTCTTTTTCTTCTTGCAACAGGCAGCATAAACAAACAAAAAAAACCTACTTTTTAATCATTATTTTTCTTTCGTTGCCACTTTGAATTAGATATAAGGCCAAGTAAAAAAAAAAACATGTTTCACGTCCGGCTTTTTTTTTAAATTGAGGAAGCGGCCTTTTTTATTTTTTATTTTTTATTTTTCAAAATGGCCGCCATTCTACAGACTTGTTGACATTTCCCGTCTAGTTTTGTTCAACATATAAAATTTAGGAATCATTGTTACTGTATACAATCGGAATGTTCCCGATGTTACGTCTCAGACGTCTTCACATGAAACTATTCCATACAATCTGACATACAGGGCCAGTATAACGGGAAATTCCAGAATTCATCGGAAATCATCGGCCGTATTCGATTGGGACTTTCGTGCTCTGCTCAACGGAAAGTGCTCAACGAAGTTCACGCTCGGAATTTATCGTTGAGTTTTGTACTCAACGGGATAACATACTCAACATATAGTCCCAATCGAATATGGCAATTGTATGCGTGACAAACGCGCTCTAGTGAAGTGAACTCGAGGTTTGCCGCCTTACGCCCAGAGTAGGCGACGGCCTAGGCCTAGCCTAGAGATATTGGGCTAGCCTAGGTAGCGATATTGGGCTAGCCTAGGCATAGCTTTACTATACGAAAGGTTAGACGAAGATATTGCACTATTTTAGGCCAGGGTATTTATTTTCCAACATTTAATTCTAAATTTTCGATATATATTTTTTCTTTATTTTCATGAATTTTCCAAAAATTAAAAATTAAAAAAAAATCAAGGCGGGCGAAAAAAACGATGCGGGCGGGGACGCGAAACATGTTTTTTTTTTTTATTTGGCCTAAAACTTTAAAAATATTGAACTGCCTATAATTGTGACACTCCAGTAAGTTATTAGCTTTTAAAAGAAAATTAGGGCCTAGGCCTAGCCTAACCAAGGCCTCATCCTTACACTTACACTTTAAGGGATAAATTTATAGGCTGAGCCTTTTGAATTGAACCCCTTATCGTGCCAATGTAATTTTTCTAGGCCCTAGGCCTAGCTATTTTTTAAATTAAACGCCTCCTTTCTTTTGCAATGAAGTTATTAAACGTACTGTTTATGAAATAAGACGAATCCATTTAGCACAGGACTATGCCTAGGCTAGGCTCCAGGCCTAGCCTAATCCAGGCCTAGCTAGGTTAGTAGTAGTCTAGGAGTCCTAGGCTAGTACTAGCTCTAGTAGTAGTAGTAGGCCTAGAGGCTAGCCTATGTTGGTAGCTATCTAGGCTAGCTAGTAGGCCTAGTAGTAGAGCGTAGCCTAGCCCAGCCTAGGCCTAGGGTCCAGGAAGGATACTTTAGCCTAGACTAGGCCTAGGCCTAGCTAGTCCTTAATTACAGTAATAGATAGTACAACAGTTTTAATATTAACCACGTGATCATATTTCTACTCACACTATTTAGCTAGGACGATCAAGAAATGTAATCATATAAATAGTTTTATAAAAGTTGTAACTTCCATGTTTTTATTAAAATGCCAATCTTGCTCATTCGGCTTGTGATTGGTTAAGATTGTCACATGACAAAGCCGTATCTAAGCCTGATTTGACCTTTATACTTAACAACCTTAGACTCGTTCACACAGAATCAAGTCATAAGAATATTATAGTTTTATAGCTGTCTGGACAAAAGTCTACATCAGAAAGAAAACAATGTGCTAGCTTCTGTGACTAAAAAAAGGCCTGAAAATAACTTTCATTCGTTGAGTAGTTAATTTATATGGTTATTAATTTATATTTATGTGGTTATTTGAAAACAAAATGTTCTGAATCAGCATCTTTTTTTATTCGGCACAAATGCCTTTAGTTAGGCCAAGGCCCTGGCTAGCCCAGCTGGCGGCCTGCCTGCTACACGCCCAACCTGTCCTTTTTGCTGTATGCACGTTACGCTTGGTTTGGGTGGCAGACGATCGTTCCCGATTGTGGACTCTCGGACCCACCTTCATTCTGATTTATTACTGTTGCGTTTCAAAATGATTTAACATAAGGCGAGACATTTTTAACCTTACTTTTTTTTAAAAATAAATTTAAAGATCGTTAAATGAGGGCGGAAAAAATTGAAAATACTGTACAATTTTGTTTTTGGTTTTTCATTTAGCAAAGAGTTTTGACAAATACATTCAGACGGAGGAGAAAATGAAAATGAAATTTTATTGATGAATGAAACAGTGTAGTAACGTTAAATGCTTAAAATTTATTATAATGTGGAAGAAATACAAATCTTATTTTTGGAGATTTCAAGGCAGTGGCGGGCGTAATAACAATTTTCTTTTGAAATTTCTATTTTTGTGGTGGTGGGTTCGCTAATTGTCCAAAAATTATTTTTTTTAAACAATTTTTTATTATTGGGTTTGCTAAACAAGGTATAAAAAGAGTCTCGCCTAAAGGCATATGTAGGTACCATCGTATAGAAAGGCTTGCACAGGGAATATATCATCTGTGATAAAGTTGGGCCTAGAAAGAAATCCGTCTCCGCATTTTTGAAAATAAGGGCCAATTATAGAGCAGATTTTTGCCAAAAATTAGGCTTTGACCTAATCTTAATTTATGAACAATATTATTATGCAGTATATACAATTCTGCGCACCTATATTCTATAGGGATTTTCTGTGTAAATTTGAGCTGATTTTTTGAGGTAATATCTGCACAATTAAAAAGCATTACAGTATGGTACTGAAATAGATGACTATGGCAAAAGGCTTTTGATTTTAAAAAATGAAACTTAACTGACCTGACCAATCAAAACAACACCAGGAATATGCGCATGTCCCACAAACACTCAGTTTACAATAATTAGTTTACAATAATTATTTTTCGTAAAGTTAAACTTTTCTTAAATCATTATATAACTGTCTTCTTTAGGCATAATATAAACTGGATGAAAATGCAATCATTGTGTCAGAGAACTAGGCATATGCTTTGCCTTTATGGATCACGTTGCAAAATGAGGAAACAGACCAAGGATCTATTATACATATGGAATGATAGCTTTCGTCATAATGCAATTGAATACCAGATGTGTACAAGTAACAATGAGTTCCATAGTAGATATCAACATTGGAAAGAAAGTGGTGCAGATAGACCGGCATTCGATATGGAGCATGTAATAGAAAATGTCAGAGAAATTAGCGACAACAATTTGCATAGGAAAGGAGATGCTGATGTTTACCATGTGGTATGTCACTAATGTGCAAATGCTGTCCATCTTAACTGTAAATGAAAAATTATAAATATTCAGTATTAATTAGATTTATCTGATGTGGAACACACCTAGAATGACTCGTAAAAGTCTAAATATATATTTATAGTATATCAGACACATACACAGTGGACTTCATCAGGAGTATGTATTAAACAAATTCAGTTAATTATTAATATTCATTTTAAATATTTGAATACATATTTCTAGTTAATTAATAGCTTTCTTTTCCTCACAGATTGAATGTTGGAAAAATCTGAAAGAAATCGAAGCTGCTCTCAACAAACTAGAACAGGAAATAGACAATTTAGAATTAAAAATACAAGATAAGGTACAGGAGCTTATAAACAGTATATTTATTACTGATAAGATTTTTGAGAATATAGAAGCAAAAATAAAGACAAATTTTCTGAGAATCTGTGATTTGCCCAAATATGGACATAAGTTAATATATGCTTCCGTAGAACTGTTCCTCCATTGTAACATTTTGTGGTATCTTGAAGGCAGCTTCTTTAGTTGTGAAGAAGGCTGTTGAGAACATAATTTGGTCGGGCGCCGCTCAAAACCACACTGAAGTGGTCCAGGGAGCGAACCCTCGAAACCTTTGAAGATTTACGGGTTTTAAAGGCTTATTTCTCTCCGACAAAGTGTTTTTCCCCCGGCAGGGACTTGATAGAGTTTGTCCAGTTTGCAAGTGCAGTCTGTCACTTTCAGAAGAAAAGGAAATATTAAACAACATTTTTAAAATTACGATCAATGATTGATGATTTCAGAGAGAAGACCAAGGCACTTTCGTTAGCAAGAAAATGGAGTTATTAAATCACCAGAAAGAAATGAAATTGATGGCTGAGGAGCATGAAGAGAATTACTATGAAGCAGCCTTGAAGTTACCAAACAGAACACACCCAGATTCGGTGAGATAAGGAATGCATCCGCATTTCTCTGGTACCCTGTGGATGCATGGAGCCTAAAAAAAATCTCACTAACACACCAATATCCTACTATTAATATTTATGATAGACCAAATCATGATGCAGTTTGCATGTTTTAAGAAAACCAAAATGAAATCGCAAAACGTATTTCTATGAAGTGATATAAATAATAACAAATTGATATAGGAAATCATTTGTCTTTTTTTAATTAGGTCTTATAATGCACGGTGTCCTATCTATGGGGAGAGGGGTATACTACCCCAATGAAAGATTCCCTTCCCCATTGCCACTAGAAATTTGCTGAGTAAACACATTACAATCTGTTAATTGAAGAATATTTTGGGGGTTTTTTTCAGCCAATTGGAGAGGAAAGTCAATCCAGGATAATACACATTGAAGGAGAAAAAGCGAAATTCAATTTTCCAATCCAAGGCCACATAGAGCTAGGGGAGAACTTGGATATACTAAGGATAAAGTAAAATTCAGTATCCCTTTATTTCATTGCAAAATATATTGTATTCAAAATAGAAAATTATTTTATGCATACATTTAGTATACACAGAAACATACAGGGTTGTAGCTGTAGAAAACTAAGTGTGAGTGATAGACATTTTGAGGGTGGGTAGATGATACCATTGGTAAACTCTATACAGTATAACGAGCGTCCGTGGATTTTAAGGATAGAAAAGTGGGCTAATAATAAGGGTGGGTGGAGGGCCATGAAATTAGCTTTAGACTGGGTGGGAAACCTCAAAGCTGGGTGGCCCCACCCACCATAACTTCATCCCTGAGCATAGGCAATATAGTTACCATGTGCTTAGCATTAAAAAAAAAAAAAAAAACATTGTAGTAGTAATATTTTTTATTAATTTTATTATTTTTTTGTTTCTTGCTGCACATATGTTGGACAAGTGGTAGCCATTGTGTGTGCACTGAACCATAGAAATCTAAAGCTCTGTCCACACTGTCAAATCTGTTGTATGCCCATATATAGACATGATGTGCCTATATATGGTCATAATGTGATGTCATCATGACCATATTTAGGCATGTCACATGTTTTTGTCAAATAAAGTTTGACAGTCTGGACAAGGCTGTTGAAATGAGATCTTGAATGATTTCCCATTTTCTTACACACAGAAATTTGGGCAATGTTGCTGGAAATAGGTCTTACTATTTGAAAGGCGTTGGTGCTCAACTGGAGGAGGCCCTCACTAGATATACCATGGAACGATTGCTGCAAAGAGGATTTCAGTTACTGTCGGTGCCAGATCTTATCAAACCTGTAGTGTTTGTAAGTTGCATTTGTGATGGACAAGAGTAGCTAGCAGAGAGACATGAGGAGTGTTTCACAGAGCAGTTGGTGAATGAGCTGATGAGATGGTTCATTGAGTGCAAAATTGATTGATTGTGTATCGGTTGGTTTGTTGATTGATTGGTTTATTGTTTGGTTGATTCATTGTTTGGTTTATTGATTGATTGGTTTATAGATTTATTAAATGAAATGTGATTGACTGATTGGTTGGTTTATGAATTTATTTTGATTGGTTTGTTAATTAATGTATGGATTGATTGATTGATTGTTCAGTTAATTTATTGGTTGATTGACTTATTGATTGGTGTATTGATTAATTGGTTTATTGATTGATTGATTAGTTGGTTTATAGATTGATTATATAAAGTATGATTTACTGATTGGCTGATAGGTTGGTTCATGAATTTAATGACAGGTTGGTTAATTAGTGTATGGACCAGGATTGATTGATTGTTTTGATTTATTGACTGATTGGTGTTGTCTGAACAATTGATTGAAGGACTGTGCATTGATAATGTGAAGCACGTAGAGTGCTTAACAATATCCGCTATATAAGTCTACCATCATTATTATTATTATTAACTGATGAGTGGATATATGAATGCTCAATTGATCAATTGAATGATTTATTGATTAGATGTATTACTACATGCATTGGGTGTTCATTGTTTTTTTGATATAATTATTTGTATTGTATCATATGCAGTGTATTTAATATTTAAAATAAAAAAGAATAAAACACTTCAAAATATCAGGACATACATAAATATCGTTTTCTATGTTTATGGATGAGAAGTTGTAGGTACTATTGTTTCATTTTTTTTTTTTCCAGGAAGGTTGTGGTATGAGGACAAAAGGTGAACATACACAGGTGTACTGGCTTGACCCTCAATATCATCCTCAGAACTTGTGCTTAGCAGGAACTGGTGAGGTCGGCCTAGCAGGTTATTTTATCAATAAGGTATTGACTAGAGCTGAACTGCCGCAAAGAGTGATGACAACGAGCCGGTGTTATCGAGCAGAAACTGCGCATTCAGCCGATGCAAGAGGCCTCTATCGAGTCCATCAGTTCACCAAGGTAATGCTCGGAATCATGACTTTGTTTCAATATATACAGTAATATCAAGGACTTTTTATATGTATTACTGATCGAAAGTAATAAAATAATGCTCCTCATAATGAAAAAGTAGTTATTAACCATGAAAAGACTCGCCTCTTTAATTAATAGTCTTTATTCCTTATTATATTATTTACTTTTGCATTAATATTTATGTATGATTCTGAACTCTGCCACAGCTTCTTTTGTTTACTTGTTCTGTGCTTGTGATGGCATTGATCATTACTGCCTTTGTGTTGTGAGGTGCTTTATAAATGACCAGATTGAGATTGAATTGTTTTTAATGGAGCTTATTGGATTTATTTTTGTATTTTCAACTAGGTAGAAATGTTTGGAGTAACTTCTCAAGATTCTGGTGAAGAAAGTGCAGAACTATTTGAGGAATATTCAAGTATACAGAGACAACTCTTCTCAGATCTAGGCCTACATTTCCAGTGAGTTAATTACGTCATGTTTCATTATCAGGAAGACGTACATGCAATATAGTACAAATGCGGTAATAATAGCTAATGCACTCTCCACTAAGTGGGTTGTGCAAATGACCATTGAGTTTACGCTGGCCAAACCAAGCCTATGCCCCGAGTACAAATATATTGAATTCATGTTTTTGTGTAATAGTGTTCTTGATATGCCGTCTGAAGAGCTTGGAGCACCTGCTTATAGGAAGTATGACATCGAAGCCTGGATGCCTTATAGAAACAGCTATGGTGAGGTATGAAAAAAAATGTCATATTTGTCAACAACAGTTCCAGAGTCGGGGTTAAAAAGGGGGTTTAAGTGATCTGGAATTGTCCAGGGAGCTAAGCCCCTCAGGGGCGGATCCCGTACAGTGGCACAAGTGGCTAGAGAAATGGGAAATTTTTTAGACATTTTAATCTGTTCTGATATGTTTTAGTCCAACCAGTCATGGCTGATGTGGAGCTTGGCCTGCTTTTTCACATGATGTGTGCATGTCAAGTCATTACTACTACAGTACTGTAATCATTTGTTCCTGATGATGACATAATTAATGTCGAAATATTGAATCCCAACACGATGGCGTGTATTTCAATACTTGGAGTATGTATTATACTTTCGTAATCATTTAACCCATCATAAATTTTTATGTTATTATTTCATACAGATATCAAGTACATCTAATTGTACAGACTTCCAGAGTAGACGACTCAATATAATGTACGAGAAGTCAGATTCAGAAACAGAATATGTCCACACGGTACGATTTATGTCTACATAACATGATTTTATAGCATTTCTTTAATTCTTTCCCAGTGACAGAAAGATAAACAAATATTAAACAATGTTTAAATTTCATCTTAAGCCCTGTTCAGACTATAAATATTTGACAAAAACATGGTCATGATGACATCACATCATGACCATATATAGGCACATGAGAACTATATATGGGCATACAGCAGTCTTTTGTCTTTACGTCACATTTAGTCATAAGAAGCAATTCTGCTATTTGTATGATTTGAACCTGAACCTGTAGGATTGGAAGGAAGGCACCCTTAACCACCAAACCAATCAGTGGCATATCTAGGAGTCTTGAATTTGGGGTCGGGGGAGGAGATGCTAAATAAGGTGACATGAGCATGATTTTTTTTTTGCTTCAATGGGGAGGGGGCACAAGTGCTTTTGGGGGCCTGCGCACCCCCTAGATACACCACTGCACCTGATGCATTATACTGTAGTTAAACTGAAAAATGTTTATTGCATTCTCTTCAATTTAGAGAATTATTGTACTGAATGTTTTTACAGATAAATGGCACAGCCTGTGCTATACCAAGAATGATTGTCGCCATCTTGGAGAACTTTCAGCGTGCCGACGGAAGCATCGCTATCCCATCAGTACTTCAACCGTACATGTGTGGACAGTCAGTTATAACTAAACCTAGTGGAGGGCTGCTGCATTACACACGATTATGATGTCTTATTTACATTTTAATTTGTCTTTACTTTGTCATGAATCTGGGAACAAAAGTGCTATAAAATTGTTATAGAATATAATAATCAAAATTAAAAGAATTGTTTGATAATACACAAAGTGTATGGTTTTTTAGTATACAGTACTTGCACAGATACGGTAATCTCTATGCTGTGGAACACATTCCATTTTGCACAGAAATTTCAAGGTTCACTTGAGGTCATATCATTTGACACTTATGTCAAGTACAGTGTGTTGACAGAATATGACCAATGGCTGATAGCACTTTGATAAGAGTAATTTTGACTTAGTTTCAGCAGACTGCAATATACTCATGCTCCTATCAAGAGCTTATTGCTTATTGTGTTCGGGTGTTGACCAGACTACGTATGCTCTTAAAATACAGTTGTACAACATGTCAAATATATTTCCTCTGTAGCCTGGCTTTAAGAAAATGTGAATGACAGAAAATGAAAACTGAACACAAACCAACAAGGACAAATGTCTGCATTTAGCTACATTTAATTGTTTGGCACATAATAAATATTCTTAATACATGGTTTTATAAAAATGGCATTTTATATAAAATTATTTTATTTCCCAATTTGATTCTTGCCCAATTTTGTATAAAATGTAATAAACATTTAAAAAGCAGATGTAATATAAATTAGTTGAATGAGAGCATATAAAAGTAAGTACTATTATAGCTGTAGCAGTGGCGGTGGTGCCCAATGCAATGCCCCAAGCTCCTATACCCAGCACAGTACTGCAGCACTCAAGTGCATGCTAAAGATTAATTGTCTCCTGGTGTACTGCCCCAACGCAACCCTACTGGAAATAAAGTAGTCCTTAGCTTTTTTTGTGGGTTATCCTTGGTGTTTACGCCGAATAAATGCATCCATCCAGTTTTGGAGCTTTAGTTTGTTTTTATGTAGACCTGTGTACACCGAAAGTCAACAGAACATGTTGTCCAGACCAACTAAAATGGCTGATTGCATTAATTACTGTGTATTTTTACAAAATATTAAAAATGTGGGTACCAATATTTATTAATTCTATTCCTTGTTACATCTGGAAATGAAAGAGTGTATAATGCTGAATGCATTTGATGGTACAGTATATATATTCTCTATGACTTAATTTTATTGGACAATAGTTATAATATAAAATATAACATTAATTTTAATCGGGTATCTTAACTATGTAAAGCATTGTGTTTCATTAGTTGCATATCACCAAAGTCTATGCGTAGAACAAAACAGTTAATGCAGTAGAAGAGAAGTAAGCAGTATAATCCTAACTACAAACCATACATAAATATCTTTCCAGAAGAGAATAGCAAAGAAATATTGCATCAGTCTGCATTTTGTGACAACTGAGGTAATGTGATTAGCCAGCATGTATATCACGGATGCCTTACTGATGTCGGCATAAACGCTGGTTCACATATGCTCCAAAGTATCAACGAATATCACATGACCTTGTAAACATGTCACATGCCATACACACAACCAATCACTATTGCACTTACATATTTTAAATATTCATAATTCTACATGTCTATGAGCATCATTCGTCGGAAGATCTCCTAAAATGTTCTCCTTGTCCTCTCCAGTCGGCTGACTATCGTGCATTGGAGATTCTGCAGGATGACCATGTACTCTTGTCCCTCGCAAGTTATTATTTGACGACGTTGCCATCTCCGTTTCTTCCTCGTCCCTAATCATGGATAAGTAATCGTATCCAGGTAGTTGTGGCTTCCATTGTTTCTCTTCTAACTTCACTGAAAGAAAAATAGTGTAACGTGTAAATGAAAATCAACAGTAATGTCTTAAGCCTGCTTTCTACTTAACAAATTTATTTGCGCGAATCAAGGCGTCGGTTCGGTTCTTGAGCTGTGATTGGTTGCGCACTTTTTTCGCTTAACAAAAAGTAGAAACTGTTCGAACTAGAGATTTCGCTGAAGCGAAAACTCGGATAGAAATGTGAATGCGCATGAACAAGAGCTTTCGACTCCTGCTCCAATACATTCTCAAGTGGTAAACAGACTGTAAGCTGTACAGCTGTCATACAACAAATCCAACCCCCCCCCCTTTCCGGATCGTCATTAATTTGGAAGATATATACATATCTTATTTTTGGAGATTTCAAGGCAGAAAAACTTATTTTTTTCTGGCGGTGGGTGTACTAAGGGGTCATTCAAGTATTATGTAATGCAGAGGGGGTTGGGGGTATAGTGGAAAATGTTACAGTGTGTGACATAGGGGTGGGGGGTGTTGCTTGAAGTGTTACATAACAAACTTAATTTTCATGGAAAGAGAAGAAATGTTAAATTTCAAACTTGTATGATATTACTTTATTGAAACATATTACATCAGTGTAATACAATGTAATGTAACACAGTTGTGTTGAATTTTGTGAAATCAATAAACAATGAAGTTACATCTACCATATCAAAAAATAACAAAACATCCTACAAATTTGTAATTTAGAACAAATTTGTAGTGGAGGACATTTATCCTGATACTTAATACTTAATGTTGTTCATCTGATTTTTATTAAAACTGTTAGATGTGTATAAGAGACAGGCACAGATACGGTAATCTCTATGCTGTGGAACACATTCCATTTTGCACAGAAATTTCAAGGTTCACTTGAGGTCATATCATTGTTAGCTCAGGCTATTGAAGAGAAGAAATGTATTATTTCACAATACAGTCTTTTATGCTTTGCTGGTGTAAGGTTGCAAAAGGTCCAATTTAGAATACACATTAATACACCTCGGGGCAATACATTTCACCATTCCTCTCTACATTCCTCTCATGAGCAGTCAATATTTGTATAATATTGTTGTCTTATGAATACTGTGTAGTGGAGTACTACCTAATAACAAATGTACTGTTGACAATGAAATTGCATTGAACTATTATCACAATATTACACAGCACTTGTGTCAAACTTAAATCATTTATCTATATTATCCCACTCAAGTTCTTATTTTATGTTGCTGGAAAAGTCCTGTAATCAATTAGACAAATCAGCAGTGATGTATTTTATAGTTTAATACTTGCCAGATTAGCATGTAATTGCTGGGAGGTGGGGGTGATAGACCAGAAAAAGAATTTACCTAAAGAAATGAGCTAATACAACCGATTTTTATTTTGTAGAGAATGTATTCACAAAATACTGTTTGTTTTAACCAGGTTGATATATGTATATTATAAAACAACAACATAGCAGGGGATTTGAGGTTTTCAGCACTGCCGGACCATGGCTCTGGAATAAACAAAACAATCACAGTCAACAAAAACCTTATATACTAACATTCAGGTGTCATATTAAATGCTAATTCAAAAGCGTCTGTCTCACCAATATTTTCTCAGATGATTCCAGCACGAATTTCTCAAGACTTGAGAAGGAGAACGGTTGATCATAGATAACTTCTGGTTGGTTGACATCTTCCCATTTAATTGTTACCACAACGGCTTCAGAACCTCCGATTTCACTTGCTCTATATATAAAACAAACATGTCAAATTTCAAAACTCCATTATGAAATCTCCACACCCTTGTCAAGGGGATCCAGAGATGTCCAAAAGGGACCCGAAAAATGGCCCAAAAGTGGGCCAATTGAGACAACACCACCGTAGGGGGTACGAAATTTTTGTCCTTTAACCTTTTCTACCCAAAATATAATCATCTCTTTCTTAAATTGTGATCCATTCCTTAGCTTTTTGCATAATTTTGCCAACAGACAGACAGAGTAATGAATTGATAACCTCTTTTGGCAGAGGTAACAACAATCCAACATTGATATATTAATATTACTTAAGCCGGGTGCTCACTGTGTCATACGGCTATCGTACAACAAATCCAATCCTGCTTCCCGTGAAGGCTAAACAACGCGATGCCATCTGTTGATTGCCGGTGGCCGTCAGAATGGATCGTCATTAAAAACGGACCATTGCGTGCGTGTCGTCGTGTTGTATTCCTTATACAATCGCGTTGGCTGACGGCCATATGCCGCAGGGAGTTTCCGGCTCAAAGATGAAAAACTTACAGAGTTTTGGCACAGTTTCCCATGCAGGATGCCATTAGATATCGTCCCCGTAGCTCACCAGCAACCTTGTTAAATATCAACCACTCTGAGGAAGATTAAAACAATGCTACTGTAATAATCACTATAAAAAAATGCACCAAATAATGAACTATGATGTCACAAAAAGTGGGCTTTTGGGTTACAAAATTAAAATAAAAAACACCATCAGGGACCTATATTTGTGCATCTGAGTGGTCTATAATAAATTGTCTATGAAGCTGGCAAGAAAGAAGCTTTTTATAACATTGCATACAGTTTCTTCTGATCACAACGACTAATGGACCAGAAGACTCTATATAATTTTTTAAGTTAATTGAATTTCTTAAAATGGTCTACCTTCTGATTTTCGCTCTGGAAAGATCCCAATAGTAACAGCACCAAGGTACTTGGAGGTCCAGGAAGGGAAATCCGCTGCCATAAATTCTCTTCCTTCTTGTTCTTTCGTCATGATGATGGGTGAACTAACAGAGTATCTTTGAAAGAAAATTATTGCAGTAAGATACCAAATTAAAATTATAATAATTCAATTAAAATTCAATACGCGCAGTCGCCAGTCTTGAGGGCCCCCCCCCCACCCATTTTTGTTCAAACATAAGAAAATAATAATAAATTAATGGAATGTAAAAGGCCAACTAAGTTTACTTTATTTATTAAATGTACTACATCAGCAAAAAAACTTTATACAGCAATTTAGTTTGCTTTATGTCTATCTAGTCCTGGACTTTATACTGAAATAACACTTTCAGTACTAAAACACTGATTTCCAAAGTGGTTCAGTCATTAACAAATAAAAGAAAACAATTGAAGAAACAAAGTTAAAAACAATTTCTTAAAATATTGATAATACAATAGTTTACATTGGAGAATAATATGCATGGCAGGAAAAAATAAAATAAAGTAAGTTATCTTATAAAGGATTTGAAATAGAAGTTTTAAAATTTAGAAGTGTCATTGATTCAAAGTTTATTTCAATATTATCTGGGAGGTTTAGTTCATCTGTATATTATATTATATATTGCATATTACTCCATGAATTTTCAGTTAGAGTATTATTGCTTTGACTTCTTGTACAGTGCGAGTGCAAACAATCATTGAAAACAAAAAGTTGAGATAAGTATAATAGAGCTTGGCCCTTTAAACATTTAAAAATATGCAAACAAAAAAAGTTTGTCCCACAAATGCACATGTTTATGTACGCTTATGCTATTGTTTTGTGGGACCTTAGCAACAATATCCAAGGGGCGTGGCTTATAAGAAAGCCATAACATCATGAATATTCATATAGAAATATAAAGTATTCAAAGCACATCCGTACTCACAATAAGTAGAACTTCAAGAAAGAGGCTTCATCTAGTACTCCTCCATATTCAACAACCTCATTGGTTCCTCTGTACAGTTTAATCATAGGGTAACGGGTCACATTGGCCTTCTTGCAAACATCTGGCCAATCAAAGCAGTTCACTTGAGCGAGAGCACTCTCCTTAAATCCTGTTAACTCCATTACTTCTTTTGCTGCTAAAGTAAAGGGCTTGAGAAAAGCCTGGCATCGTGGGTCCCCTATGAATTATAAAAATTATTAACTAGCTTGTATGAGCAATCCATGTTGTCCACATTCAATAGTTTTCTTGCAAAATAAAATGGGGGGGGGGCTGATGGGAGACACACAATGTTGGAGTGGGGTCGATGATTAAGTGAGGGGAAATATGTTGAATAGGAAAATAAGATTATATGAGGTGATTTTTAACTATATGAGTGTTGTTTTTTTGCTTTGAACATTTTCAATGGGGGCGGGGCAAATGGGGGGCCCGAACGCATTTTTTGGGGGAATGTGCCCCGCCGCAAATTACTAGATATGCCACTGTGTTTAGTAGTACAGTTGATAATCTTACCTCTCTTTCAAAACATTTCTTACACTAGTAGTCACTAAAAATTTATACCGGTGACCATAAGCAAAAGCAGCTTCCATAAATGCTCTATGCTCTGAAAGAATATCATTAAAAGTGTTTAAATAAACAAGTAAAGTTGTCCCTCCAATTAAAGACCACTTTTGGCACCAAGAATTCATGGTTTTTAGCAGCTTTGGTCTTTAATTTTTAAAATAATCATTATAAAGACAAAAGATTGGTGTTCATCAGGTGAAAAAGTGGTCATTAATTGAAGGCAGGCTCTAATTGGAGGGGTCTTGGATTTATTCTGTATAAGCATGGAGAGTAACCTAGGGAAGTCTGAAAAAGACTTATTTCCAGTGGTATCATTCTGGTAGTGATTGGGCAGTACACCGGGAGACAATCCCCTACTCTTTTCCGAAGAGTGTACTGCATTTTTTAACGTGCACATGGGCCACTGCATGTTAACTATCATAACTTGCATTTCAGCCCTCCAGCTGAGATACAAGGAGAGCAGCGATGGGAATTGAACCGGTGACCAAAAGATCTCCATGTTTCAGCACACACACAGTGGCTACCACCAGATTAGCCAACTGAGCTAAGCTGCTCTCCGAAATAAATTCAATTTAAAGAGTGATAACAAAGTGACAATGGGGACCTACACTGTATGGCCTGAAGAGGGTGGAATCATATGGTCTTGTGGCTGCCTCGGGATTGAGGCACCGCTCTTGCCATCTTCTGGATCCAACACTGAGTGGAAAGGAGGATACCCTGTGGGTAGATAAGGTCTCTTACCTGGTGTCCCAATGGCCATCACCTTACTGAATATGACATCTTGTTTTCCTCGGGCAGTGTGCAGTAGTGACTCTAGTTCTTGATGGTTCTGTACGATTGGCACTTCTTGTAGAAGAACCAGGCTGCATTTGATATAATAAAAGGTTATTTTTAAAGTAGTACAACAGGGGATACACATGAAAGTAACTATAATAGTACATTTATCTTCTTTCTCTGGTACTGGTAGAGCCCAACCAGATATATTTTAATAAGCTCTGATGCTGGCAGGACTGATGGTATCAATCCCTGCTACTGTCATGACCGATAGTGGGTATAATTTACCAGGTTCAGGTACTGGCAAACCCAATGGTGAAAATTTACCATGTTCTGGTACAGGCAGAACCTGTGATGGACAACAACCCTTTTCTCTAAACCACATCCCTTAGATATTGTTCCCACAAATATTGTTTCCACAAAATGACAAGTGTTAAAACATACGCAAACACATGCGTTTGTGGGACATGCATGTACTCCTGGCCCTGTTCTGATTGGCCAGTTGTTAAGTTTGGATAACACTCCAGAAAGGTCCATTTACCATGGTCTGGTACAAACAGAACCTGTGGTGGATGGTTTACCATGCTCTGGTACAGGCAGAACCTGTGGTGGATAATTTATCATGCTCTGGTAGAGACAGAAATTGTGGTGGAAAATTGACCATGCTCTAGTACAGACAGAACCAGTGGTGGATAATTTAACATGCTCTGGTAAAACCTGGGGTGGATAATTTATCATTGTCTGGTACAGGCATAACCTGTGGTGAATAGTTTACCATTTTCTGGCAAAAGCAGAACCTGTGGTGGATTATTTTTACCATGCTTTGGTACAGGCAGAAAAAAAGTGGTTGCCTTACCATGGTCTGGTACAGACAGAATCTGTGGTGGATGGTTTACCATGCTCTGGTACAGACAGAAACTATGGTTTGTTACTATACCAATTGCAATGAATTTACTTAAATATTAAGATGAACATGTTACAATGTACTCACTGTAAGACACTGGATACAATGGAATTAATGTCAAATAGGGTGTCTATTGCAAGGTCTGTCAATGATGCACCATTCCTGTGAAATGAATAATAAAAAATATATAAAATTAATGATGTCATCATTTTATGTTTGTTATAATTCTAGCTCAATAGGACAATAGTTTGTTATAGAGACCTGTTATGTATTGCAGCTTGTGTAAAAAAATGTTCAACATTACTAGGCCCAGGCATAATGCATACACCAACCTACAGTAAGGAAACCTTAGCATGTGACCACAAATGAAGCCAGATCCTATGCCCAAACTAGGAAGGCCCGGGACAGATAAGATGGACTTATTCATTCATTCAGTACTTTATTAATAAATTTCCATACAACAAGCCATATTATTTTCAAGTTAATTTGGGCACTAATTAGTAGATTGAGCCTGTAGGAGCTCTTATTTTCCCCCAAAAATAGCCTACACATTATTTTTTCTCCTTCAAATTTTATTTTCCAAACAGCAGGGCTCGATTTAGTACTAGCCCAGCGTACAATATCTAGTAAAAACCGCTCCGGGCTAGCCTATTTACTCCTCATGTTGCCCGGTTGTCTAGTGGAGAATTAGCAAGAAAACATTTTCTTTAAAAATAGCTAGCTTTCAGCTCTCCACGTGCGTGAGTGTTTAATTATTAAGATGATCCCCAAATCATTCACCAACCACTACAGATGGCATGTTATATTTCTCTCAATAGAAGATCGTTCAATCTGGTTAATTTAGGAAGTTAGAACATTTAATTTAATGTACTACCTTATATTCATATTATTTTCTCATAATGATATTTTTAAAATGTTAAACTTTTAATAATAAGTACTTCAATGCTATAGGTAGGCTAGGCCCTAGGTCTTGCCTAGGCCTAGGTAGCCTAGCCTAGGTAGCCTAAGCAAGATTTATTGCCATTGGGGGTGAGTGACTTGAGACCTAAAGATTTAACAGATGCATTGGTTTGATTTATTTCTGGGCCCTTTGTTAAATATTAGAAAGCCAAAGTTATAACCAGGGAGATGTAAAACATGCTCATCTGTCCCTGTTATAACCAGAGTCGATTTTGCAGCATGGTGATTTTTTTATTTATTTATTCAACAATATTTTGAGAGGGTAGCTCAAACAGCAATGCTACAGAAATTATGAAATTGCAAATCAACCTTCAAATTTAATTGTCGCTAATAAATATTTTGAAACAAAAATTTTTCCTGTCTGTGGGCTAGTAAAATATCCTGTGGGCTAGTAAAATCTCTAGTAAACTAGCCCAGTGGGCTAGTTACCGAAAAAAGTTAGGGCAAGCCCTGAACAGTACCCTCAAAACCAGTGGCGGATCCAGAGATGTCCAAAAGGGGGCCCCCAAAAGGGGTGGGGGGGAGAAGTTGGGCAGACGAGACAACACCATCCTAGGGGGTTGGGCCTCCCAAAAAGGGGGAACCGGGGCCAGGCCAGCCCCTCTAAATCTGCCCCTGAAAATACATATTCATTTGCTCATTTCAAGGCCAAAAAAGTATGCAAGTAATAGGGATGTTCCAGATGAGAGATTCTACTGTGTTAATAAATTCTATGGAATTATGCCTACTATATCAAAAAATAAGAATTTGTTAATTACGACTCTATGAGCCACAAATTTTTAGATATTGCTAATGTCTAATGTAGTACGCTCATTGAGAGCATAAATAAACGATAAGCCATACGCCATCGTTTATAAAATTCTGGATCTGCCCCTAATTAAGTGTAGAAGAAGAAGCCTATAAACAAGATGTGGAAAATCAATAAAACAAAAATTTATTTTAAAAATGGCTTTAAATACATTTGTGATGTGTAAACCTTCAATCTGCCATGGCACATTAATGTAAAATAAAAAATGCAGAAAAAAGGATACTTTTGAAGGTGGAAAAACAGCGACGTGAGAAGCTCTCTTAGAGATGGATATGTGCGCCAAATACAATGACATTAAATTATTAATATTACTTGTACATACATTGAAAATTATTATGGTTCTAATATGGTTTTATTTCCCTTTTTTTAAATTAATTTTCATAAACAATTAAAATCAACAAACCTGAAGACAAACACTTTGGACATTAGAATTTCTTCTTTTTCGCTACAGTACTTTTGAATAAAAGCTGTATTACAATTTACCTAACACAAACAAATTGAAAACAAATATAATTATTTAATCATTCATAACTTATTTCACTGAATATGTGGAGTTGATGAGAATTGCTAACATTTAATAACAAATTTGATTTATTAGCAGCTTTGTAAATTTCTCAAATACTTTATTAAATTATTGAAATACATGTCTAAGTTACTAATTAATATAAAATATATATATTATAATAGCCATCACAAATACACTGTACTGTAGGTGAACAAAATTTAAGTACTCTTTTAGTTTCAAATACATGCTGGTTAAGACTTATAAAAACACTCACAGTATACTATCAGTATTACTAAGTTTTTCAAAATTGATACTTAACAGTAACTTTTAATATTCATGAATAAAAGCTTAATATAACAAACCAATATTTAACAACCCTGTTAAATAATAAAACACAATAATATTCTGATCAACATACCATATTCTCACTTATAAGGCAATCCATGTATAAGACAACCCCCGAGTTTGAAAAGATTTTTGGACAATTTTGAATGACAACCCCCCTGTTTCACCATCAAAATTCCTACTTTTTGTCCCTTTTTATGGTCTTGATATTGCTAAAAACGGAGCCAATTGTAGGACTAATCTAAATAATACCATCTTATGGGCTTTTACATTTCCATCAAAATCTAATTTCCCGCATTTAAAATTGCATTTTTACTAACAGCAGCTTCATTCCAATAGTAAATTTGCAAGTTACGGACGATCCGCACAAAAGACGAACATGAAATTTAAAAATATAAAATTTGTATGTGTTGCGACCCCCTGATTTTTTTATCGTAATTTGCTAAATTACACCTTGTCTTGCACGCAATAAGAATATACGGTACTATAAATTGCAATATATAATTATCATATGTTAATCTTTGACCAACATGGGTAGTTAAAACTGCAGAAGGCATTTGTTATAAGACATGCACTTGGTTTTAAATATTCAAAATGATTTTTAGGTGAATGCACCGACACTGTGAAATCAATCTGCCTCTGCATTAAAAGGATAGAAATATTATAGCTAAGCTTCCAACTCAATGTGAAGACAGATTAAAAGGTTAATGGTATCTCCTAATAACATGCTGTGGTCATTAATCGCCCAGTCTTAAGGTCAGTTGTTTGGCATATTCATGACACAAAGGATCTTTATAGAAAAAAATATTATAATAGGTATAATTATTTGTCAAAAACATGAAAATTGTAAACGGCAGCCAATTGGTACAATTGTACAAAACATCAGATAAAAAAAAAATATATACAAATTAATATATCAAATTAGACATTAGAAGTTAAAAGATAAAACTGCCAATAAAAATGCATACAATATAAAAAATTAAAAAAAACCACAAAGAAAAAAATTAATAAACATTAAAATTTACTGTTAACAACATCAATGCAATTAAAAAAAGAAAAAAAATGGTCTGAACTTTATCTCAGAATGTACTTATGCACTAAAGAATACTTTGAACAATAAAATTTGTTTTGCTAGTTGCTAAAAATACTAAAATTGACAAACTTTGGAATTCCTCCATGATTATATTAAAATGCAATGGATAATGGTTTACAACTTTTAATCTACTAAAGCATCTTCGTTCCACCAATTAATCATATAGGGAATTGGACTATTTTTTTAATTAACTGCTTGTTGTTTATGCAGAATTATGAGGTATAATAATATTCTATATTGACAATAACACAAGTTTAGTAAATTATTACTAAATAATTTTATTTAATCATAGTTAATAAGAATATCACAATAATTGTGAATAATTTTTTTTAAGGATTTTTTTTTATGTTGGCTTTATTATTTTCTGTCTTTTGTAGTGTATCAACCAAGTTGGAAGGATCACTCTTTATAAAGATGGTTGAAATAAATAAACAAAATAAATTGAAATATACATAAATATAATAAGTAAAGAGCACTTGATCAGTACAGTATTTTGGCTGACACACATTATTTGGAAATAATTTCTTACCTTTTATTTTGAATTGAAATATTTAACTAATAATAATACACATATTTATAATAGTTGAGGCTAGATGATCGTAAATTAACCAATCATGACAGAATATAATATAAGCATAAATTTTAATTCAACTGTAACAATAAGAATAGAAATTTATAAAATATTCATATGTAAGAGATTATTAAATATGAAATCAATTTCAGATATTGAATGCATATGGAAAAACTAATGAATTCATTAAATCAATAATCATAGTAAAATACTAGAGCCAATGGTGTTAAATTCAATAGCATTTGCATGAACATATGGCAGCTTGCTGTTTAAAATGAAATACCACATGATTTAATCCCATGAAATAAAGTCCAAAAAATATTGTTGCAATAGCATGTGACAATTAGAAATCAAGGTCAGTTTGTGGAGGCTACAGTGCTAAAATTAACTGTTATTGTAGAAAAACAAATATTAAAAGCCCAAAAATGCACTTATCATATACTGGTACTGGGCATTATAAATGGGCATTTATAATGTGCCTCTTCCATGCGGTTATAAAGCACAGTTCTTTTCCCTGGTCATTGGGTCCACAGTGTTGCTGATGGTAATCAGCGCAGGAGCAGGCAACCCCACCAGATACCCATTACTCCTGGGTGGAGAGATGCATTGCAGATAAAGTGTCTTGCTCAAGGACACAAGCAAAATGCACAGCGAGGGATTGAAACCATGACCTCAAGGTTGGGAAACCAAACCGTTCCCGCTGCGCCAAACCGCTTCAACATATCTGCCTATCTGCCAAGTAGACACATATTAAAACCATTTTTACTATAGAAACCTTCTGTAATTTTCTATGCAGAGAATAAAGCAAACAATATGGTTTATAATTAAAAGTTAATAAATTTCCAGACCAGTACTAAAATATGCAATATAAGCAATTAATAAATTTATTTATCTATTACAAATTCGTCACAATACATTTAAAATATTGACCAGGGGCATAATTAGAGATGACATGGGCTAAGCCCAACACATCAAGTGGCCATCTCTAAATCCCTGGCCAATAATAAATAAAATAAAATATGTTATAGTAGGCCTACATATAAGATACACAAAAAAAAAGAGAATACCGTGAAACAAAAAAAAGCAAAATTTATTTACCGTAGTTCCCCACATATAATCCCATCCTCTACCCCATGAACGCAAACTTAGCCTGATTTTGGGGGGCATGGTATCAATTTTAACTAGACTTACTATGTCTGTTTGAACAACAGAACATAGGGCTTTTCCCCATTGCCTTAATTTAATTTCATTTTATTTATCTAAAAATAACCTCCAACAAGGAGAAGCAAAGAAATACAATCAAAACAATGCAATTGAATTAAAAACGTGGCTTGATGGGAAATGAAGTTGAAATTGCAACAAACAAAAAAAGTCGTTAAAAGGTATAAGGTAAAAAAAAACAAAGAAAACCAATATTATTTTAATGTACTGTAGTGGAAAAAAAAATTAAGTGAAAAAAAACAAAAAAAAACACGAAAACCAAGTTCACTGCAACGTTTAATGGCTTTTCCCAGTACTGCTGGGAAAAGCCAATTACCACAATTCTTTAACATGAATGAATGTAAAGATCTGTCCACACTATAAAAATTTGATGCAACAAATAGTTCTATAATATGCCTTTATTTGGATAAAATATGATATCATCATGCCCATATATAGGCACATCACATAAATTTGTTAAATAAAATTTGATAGTATGGGCAAACCTAATAAATGTACTATGCAGTACTTACCACAGAAAGTTTTATCTTAAAATCTTTAAGATAGTCTGATGCTTCGTAGAAGCCATCTAGAAAGTTCATATACTCATCATCTAGAATGGAGCAAGCAAGTAAATCAAGCAATCAATCAACCAACATGGATTTGACAACGCCAATGAAATACCTTTATCATTTCACATTGGGAACTATGAGCAGTAACAATAATAATAATAATATTACATTATCTACAGTAGATTTTTGTTTTACCCTAAAACATTAATGTTAAAATGAAGCAGGTTTCCTTACACTTCCAAGTTAAAAGAAGACACTTATGGAAGGTCTGGTTAAATGAGCTTTCTTCACAGTAAACACATCTAATTCTATTTTGCAGTGTGTGGTGACACCTATTGACACACTGACAATAAATTACCGCATTTTGCACTCAAATTTGGCTACGCATACTAACTAGGTGGAGAGCTGGTGAGAGACAACATGAATAAATTGCTTTGCCCAAGGACACAATCGACTTGCAGGGGAAGAGTTTCAAAGCCTCGGCTTCAAGGTTGAGAATTCAGGTCACAAACACTGTGCCAACCGCATTGGTGTTATACAGTGTTACCAATTTTCATTCAATGTAATACTCTATAGTAATTACTATATTGAATTAACCGATATTCAATAGCTCATAAAAATTAAAATCAAACTTACTTGAGCTGGACACATAAAAATAAACAAGGGAAACTTGGCTAGATGCAATGGTATCGTAATATACGCTTTCAGTAATAGTAGTTCTGGCTGTTCTTGTTTGTCCACTGCAACATTGCACTGCGAACACCAGAAGTAGCAGATATAGAATGGAATTGTTCATCCTTCTATAAACAAGAAATTAAAAAACACAAGCTTGAGTAACTTGGCAAATGCATAATTATTAAGAAGTGTTCATTTTGCCGACTAAAACTTTAGTTTGTCTACATCTTCAAGGTTAGGGTTAGAATGCGCCCTCACTAATCGAAAATACTTTGTGAATAAATAGGTATACCATCGGATAAACGCTGCACAATAATTATTGCTGCGAAGCAGCGAATTCATATTCTTGACAGCAATTTGACCTCTGAAAGGTCATTGTTTGTCAAAAAACAGGTGCCTAAGACGACTGAAAAGCGGAGTTTCGTTCTGCCGGGTAAAATCAATTACTTTAGGCGACGTTTGTAGACTAACCTACTCGTACCAACGTCGCATATCGCGACGCTGGTGTATTACTATTCAGCGTTTTTACTATATTTCTAGGTTTCCTATTTCTACGTTTAATCGGCCCATGTCTCAGCCACAATATTTTGAGGCTAATATTATTTACGAACCCAGTTAAACTTATTTACTAGCCTATTTCAGCGTGCTAATTATTATATTTAGATTAGGCGACGCTTGCTGCAGACTGGCATATCCGGTACGAATACGAGAACCAGTCAATTCGAGCGGATACCACTTCGAGCGAAGGCCAATTCGAGCGGAATTTTTTTCGAGCGGAGGCTAGTTTGAGCGGAAGAAGATCCACTGGAACAACAACCTGTGCGAGTTATATACGAATTACTTCAAAATTTCCTATTTTTTAGCTAAAAATTTGACATTTTCAAAGGGGAAGGGGACACACAACAGTTCCAGAATAGATAAGTCAGTAGCATTAACTCAATTACAAATATAATTTGAGCTAAAAATTTGACATTTTCAAAGGGGAAGGGGGGAACACAACAGTTCCAGAATAGGTAAGTGAGTAGCATATCTCAATTACAAATATAATTTGCTTTTTTGAATTCAGAACCCTAACCAGTGGCGGATCTGGGGAAGGGGGAGTGAGGGGTGGTGAATAGGGTGGCTAGCCACCTCACTTTGTTTACCGTGAAAAAAATAATGGTCACTCGTCTTGTGTGTGTGTGTGTGCCTTCTCGTGCACTTTAGTAACACCTGGTAATACATACACTTTCTTCTTTTTTAAGATGAAAAGTGCGCAATTCTATTATAGTTTTAACTTGTGCTGCCATCTTGGTAGTCGGAGTTGCCAAGACTGTGATTCAAACATGGAGTAATTATCAAAAAGTACTAAAAACCTTTCAGAACCTTTTTTTTTTCATTTAAAACAAACAAATACAAGAATACGGCGACGATAACTTCGCCCTTGTTATAGTTCGCACTAAATGCATCCGC